CCCCCCCCCCTCCAGCCATCACCCCTCGGTGCCCTGGGGTGAGCGCTGTACATACAGTCTGACACAGGGGGTTTTTAAAGCACAAATGCATTAAAATCCAGTTTGCAGAATTAAGAGGAGGTTGCTTCCCATCAAGATGTTGGATTTTGAGAGTGTCTTTGTTGATCTTTCCATGCTAGCAGTAACAATGTGGGGTCTTGTGGCCATACAGAACTAAATTACCTTTGCCAACCACCTAAAAGGAGAGAAATGCCTAATCATAAACAAACAAACAAAAAATAGTGGTAAGGTACATTATAATAACCACAACCTGATGATTTAATAGATTACCTGGATCAAAATCAGCTGAAAACATTCAGGGTTGATCCAGTCTTTCATCCAGTCCCACGTACATCTTTTTCTGTCTCTCCTGAGGCAGGTTAATGCAGAAGGGCGATTTGGTATATGCATAATGTATAAACACTATTTATTCCTTAACCTTGATTTAACCAATTTATTTTGTTTTAGTTGGGAAGTCAGCAAAGTGTATGTTGTGGTCACTGATGAATCTGCAAAAGGAGACTCTTTAGCACTCTGTATGCAGCTTTTGTCTTAGGATGTTCATTAATAAAGAGATGTTAGCTGATGTGAAAATTGTATGTGCAGTTTGTATGATGTTTTTCTACTTTTGATTTTATGTGGAGACTTAATTATGTTGTCATTTGCTAAAGGTGTTCCTTTTGCTGTTTCTCAGAATCATTCTGAATCACTGCTACCACTGACAGAACGAGACACTGTCTGCTATTGATCTGTTCTGAGTTCCAGGTTTATAACCTTACCTGGCACCAAAAAAAAAGGAAATTGGCCTAGGATGTGAGTACCCTGCTGGGATACAAGAGTTAATCTAAATGATTGTGTAATCTGAATGCTACTTCACTTGTTGTTGTGAAATACCCAAAGGGTACTGTAATGAAATCCTTCAGGAATGGTAGCAGATTGGGTAGTAATGGATCTTGAGTATCTCTGTAGAGGAAAAGGGAGAGATTTGTTTCAGCAGAGTTACTGCTTAACAGAAAGCATATTTCCAGTTCACAATGCATTGAGTTTGGAGAAAGATAACAAAGCACTGGCATTTTGGAAATTCTGCAGTGCAGAAAAAACTATGCTACTGTTGGTATACCAGGAGAGAACTATATAGCAAATTAATTTTCAGTTACATTTTAATGCTGCTGCTTCAGTAGTAATTAATAAGAAATGCAGATTACAATTTTAGTCTGTAAAAGAAAAAAAACATATATTCTGAAATTTTGTAAGGATTTCTTTAAGTAATGTAACAAGTCAATGATAAGGCTTTTGTAAGTTCTTTTAAAAAGCACATTTAACGCAGTTTTTACAAAAATGTGTTTGTAGGTCATTGCTTATAATGTAGCTGCATCTGAAGAAGTACCAAGTGGCTTTAGGTCATGCTGGCTAACAACATGGGGTATCGTTTCATGGTACATGGAGCTATGATTCCAAGGTGGCAACAGAATGTTGTCAGGCTACAAGCCTAAAAGAAACGTCAAGGAGTCATACAAAATTCTTGAGCTTGAGGAAGATTGTTCCATTGATGATGTCAGAAACTCATATCGAAGTCTTGCCAAAAAATACCATCCAGACAGCGGTTCGGCCACAGCTGATTCCGAAGCATTTATGAAAGTAGAGGAAGCATACAGAGTGGTGCTCAGTGACGTGGCAAACAAAAAGAAATCAAACGAGAATAATGAAGAGGAGGAAGACCAGTTCAAACCAAAAGCACCGCAGCATAGACACTACTTGAGTTTTGAAGGCGTTGGGTTTGGAACACCAAGCCAAAGAGAAAAGCAATACATGCAGTTTCGAGTAGACCGTGCTACTGAACAAGTGCTGGAGTACCGGAAGCAGAGGCATGAAAGCCAGTGTGCAGTGACTGACCCGATGAAAGCCATAGATGTGAGGGAGAGCAAAAAGGTGAAAATAACTCAGGCAGTTGAACGGTTGGTTGAGGACCTCATCCAGGAATCGATGGCAAAAGGAGACTTCGACAACCTCAGTGGGAAAGGAAAACCTTTGCAGAAGTTTTCAGACTGTCCACATATCGACCCTATGACTCACAACTTGAACAGGATTCTGATAGACAATGGGTACCAGCCAGAGTGGATCCTGATGCAGAAAGAAATACGGGAAACTATTGAGCGGTTACGGAAGAATATAGTGGCATCTAGAAGTAATCTTGGAGGGCCAATGACACCATATAGGCAAAAGCAATGGAATCGTATTTGTGAGCAATTCACGGAAGATATCAGGAAATTAAACAAAAGAATTGACAACTTCAATTTAGTTGTTCCTCTTCTGACCAGACAGATGGTGCACTTCAGTGCAGAAAAAGAAATTGATCGAGCACAGAAGACTTATGAAGCCTTGATGGAGAACAGAGAGGCTTCTGATTCAGAAACAAAGCAAAATGAAGAGGAAAATGTTGAAAGGTTTGGGTGGAAGTCTTCTCTATTTAAGTGGTTAAACCTTACATTGAAATAAGATAATACTAATTCATCTGTCTTGTCAAAATTTTGAATGCACTTTATTACTTGTAGCACTACAGAAGTTTCAGGTACACTGAAAATGTAAAATCCAGCTGTCCACTGTTACACCAGTTAAAAGGAATTGGGTTGTCTGATGTGCAGTTGTGGGTGCTGGACTTGGACTGTACATTCTGTAGATGTCCATTTTTGTGTCTAGCATTTAACATACAAGGAGGTCTCAGAAAGCATCCAATCAAATAAGGAAGACTGGCCAAAGCTGTGCCCTAATCACATGGCTTTTTGGAGGTGAGAAGAAATGGGAATACTAATTTTCAAAAGTAATTGCACCACTTTAATATTGTAGAGCACTGGCATTAAAGAACTTACTGAAATATTGCTGTACTATTAAAGTTTCTGGGCAGTGGCTTGGAGGGTGGGAAGATCTTCATGATGCCAAAAATTGATTTATCTTTAGTAGCCTCTCAGCTCTCCCAGTCTGATTCTCCTGGAGGACTTTGCCTTTGAAAAGGTGTCACTGGCTGTATCAGTATCTGTGTGGGCCCCCTTTCTCACTTGTGCCCCTGTGACTGTTGCTGTCTCCACCTCTGCTAGAGTTGTGCTATGCCCTTACCACTCTGTGGGAAGGTGTCCCACAGGCTCTGGGTATGCCAGAGGGGGAATTTCCATTCAGTAGTTTCAGACATTAAAGATAGATGATGATTGCAGCCATTGTCCTTTGGCAGATGCCCCAGCACTGGCAGAATCTGGGTTAATTGCATGTGCTTTTGGGTGGGTGTGCTCCTTCCAGAATATTGTTTATATTGGTTGGTAGAATGGATTTACTGAAGTATCATTTGTGAGAGGGTATTGTGTAGTCTAGTAACATAATTTAATATGTTACACACTGGTAAACACTATAGGTCTTTCAAGCCTTTGTGGTATGGTAAATAAGTAATAATGGCAAGATGTTTGTCATGCTTTAGAAAACAGGGCTAATCTCAGCCTCTTTTGGCACCTTTTTTTCAGGAGTGAGGGTGGCAAAAGTAAAAAGAACAGCATTATGTGCAGACTAATCTCTTGCCTGTGGGCCATGCCACTGGGATGCTTGTGCTGTGCCCTGCCCTAGTGTTAGCTGAAAGGATTAGCTGATAGCTGTTAGTTCCTTTCTGCTGAGATTCAGCTAGGAGGCAGGGGCACATCAGCGGTTCATGGACCCCTTGGGCCAGCCAGTAATTAATGTACCCTTCAGTGGTTCTCCAAGTTTGCAAAGATAGTAAGAAATAATGGGTATCATGCAGATACAGGAGTTAAGTCCTGCATAGTGTTGAAGTGGGAACAAAATGGTCTTGATCGGCCATATAAGTAGCCCCAGTTTAAATGCTCAGAAAGAAAAATCATGTTACATGGCAGCTCTCTGTACCTGGGGAGGCCGTAAGAGCACAAATTGATGTCCTTTCCTTTGTGATAAGGATGTGATTCACTGAGATCATGGTGTTAGACCAGGTGATACCAGAAGACCTACCTCATAAGCTCCTTACTCATTTTAGCAGCTGGACATATAAATGTCTGTTTATTTCAACGACTTAGCCATGTATTCTTCCTTTTAATGAAAACTGTAAATTAAACATACTTTTATGGAAGTTCTTTGACATAGTATTCTTAAAAAGATCAAATTTTTATTTGTGTTATGATCTACAGGAACTGGATCTGTGAATTGCTGTTTAAGCTAATCCAGTGGCAGATTAAAGAGAGCTAATTGCACATCAAATTCATTGCACAAGAGTAAATAGAAACCAGATTGCAATAAATCCTGCTTTGATGAAATCCACTTTGGCTCACAATGGAGATAAGTATCAGCAACTTAAATATTTAAGTTGCTGTAATGGATGAATCAGCATACCAACTGATTTTTATGTTCCTTTTAAAACTACTTTGGTTTAAATGGGCTAGATGTAACCTGACTCTCTGCACTTTAGATCAGCCTTACACTGTTGCCATGAAAAATTGCCAGGCACAAGTGCCCACTTCTTCAACATTGATGGCAATCATGATGAAAAAAGTAATTTAAATTTTCATTTTTCCCCAGGTGTGTGGAGGAGTACATTTTTGCAAGGCTGATCTGTATTTTTGTTGCTCTGAGCTCAAAATCTTCAGAGCCGTATTTAGTCAGTACTTCTAGAACAAGCCATACCAGGTACTGCATACAGATTAGAAAAACCCAGGAGAGAATGGCCTTCAGAAGTAATTTTTCTATCTGAAACTAGACTGTTACTTTGATTTTGATAAGCGTTACATTATTACTGACCTCAAAAGGATGAACTCATTGCGGGTTCCAGATACAAATACATGTTGCTTATTCCCAGCACATCCTATGTGGTGGTCTAGTTACTGTATGGCTTGTGGCTTGAAAGGCTTATCTAGATGACAAAATATTATTGATATTTATTATTAGGATATATTAATTGAGGTATCAGTATTTCTCAGGGTGAGGAATTTCTTGCCTAATAATCTGATGGCTTCTTGCAAGCACAACTGGTGCTTTCCAGTAAAAGGGAAAGACATATATATATATATAGCTGTAGGCTGTCTGAAATAACGTCTGAGGCTCTCCTATAAACGGAGGAGTTTCTACATAAACTGTAAAAGTTGAGGCCTGCTAAATATCTTTCTGTTCCAGAGTAGTAACAGCTTTCAGGATGCATGTGGAGTTACAGAGAAGGCTCTGAGGAGAAGGAATAAAAGTCACGAGAAGCAAGAGCATGGTGTACTGTAAGGGACAAAGGCAAGTGGTAAATCGGTTCTTAGTGGGGGAAATTGCCCCAGTGGGGGAAAAGGGGATCTCCATCGAAGTTGTTGCCCTACCAGTTGTTTTTCCCTGGGTGTGGCAACCATGCAATTTAACTTCCTACAGCTGAGATCAGCTGTTAAGAAAGCAGCTGTGTGTGCATGCATGCATGAGGAGTGGGAGTGGTGATGGGAAGGGCCTGCAAATGAGAGAGGAGATTAGAGGAAAGCAAATGGCATGTAATGGGCCTGCATGAGGGTGAGAAGATGGTGGCACGTGTTAGCAGAAATGGAGCTGGGAGAGTAGGCACATATGAATGACAAAAACGGTTATGGTCCTTGTCAGTGAACAGTGAGACAAGAGTTTTGTTACAAACTTTTCCTTTATGGTATGGTGCTGAGCATCACGAGTAAGAAACTGCCATTCTTGTTGATCCTCTGCAGTGGGTAGCCTCTTCTATAGGCCAGATAAAGTGAGAGAGGAGGACCTGCTTCAAAAGAAGACTGTGGCTCAGCTCCAGACATGATGGAGCCTATTTGCCATAGGGTAGAAAGCAGAATGTGCAGAAACCATCTTATAAATCTTAGAGATTTTATGAGACTTCCATGCAGAAATGGGGAATAGCCTATCCAAGGATGTGGTCATAGAAAAAGCTGTGTAGAATACAGTGCGCCCATACAACTGAAGGAAAAAAAGAGCTGAGTGAGGGCTTTGGGTAAAACTTCTAAATTTGTATAGGATTTCATGGGCTCACAGCTTAACTGCCTTTTAATGAGAAACTAAAGAGACACTTGCAATTTGTTTGCATCTTTATAGTCCTCTCTCACGATGCTCTTTTCCTTACTTAGGGCCCCTTTGTTCATTGTTCTTGAGCAATCTCTTTGAAATGCCTTTCTCATTTCTTTTTTTATCCTGTTCCACTCTTAAATGTCTGCTTCTCACTTTTCAGGCTGACTCTGCTTTTTTGTGTTATCTGAGTGAATTTTCAAGGCTGGTCAGTCATGAGCTTCAGTATTTAATTCAACTGCAGCATTTTGGCTTAGTATCTCTAAAATGCTGATATAAAATCTTTTGTAATTGACAATAGTCTGTATTTTAGGAGATGATGGTTCTTTTCTGAGGTTCCTCTGGTGCTGGTTTGGCTCTTTTCAGTGCTCTGGCAAGAAATAGGCCAGAAAGCCAGGAAAAAGAGAATGGAATCCTGTGTGTGAGAAGCGTGGAGATGGTTCATTGAGAGTAAAAAACTTGGGGTCAGTTGGTCTGTTTCGGGCATGTTCAAAACCACATTGGAAGCAGATACCCGTTCACATCCATCGTGCTACCGGAACGTGTAGAAACCCTCTTGGTTCTCCCAGGCCGTGACAGGTACGGTGAGGTCTCGGGGTGAGTAGTGCTGGGCAGGGCTGTTCCCTCCGGGATGCTGGAATGTGAGGAGGAAGAACCGGCTGCTAATGAGGGTGGTGTACAGGGCACCCCCGGCACTGTGTTGAAGCTGGCAGGGAAGCGGTGTGAAGTCCGAGATAAATAGCTCAGATACCTCTTCCTGTCCACCTGAAAGAACCCGGGATCGCTTATGAGCTCCGTTTGCTTCCGTGACACCGGGCACAGGGCTGAGGCGCGGCAGCGGCTGGGAGTGCAGCGCGGTCACGCCAGCCTGGGACCCGCTTGCAAATGGCGACGTGGGTGCGCTGTAAGGCCGGGGGGGGCCGAGCAGC